CAAACTCAAATATAGTAATTTAGGAAAACATTGTATTTATTTATTCAACAAAGGCCTCTATAAAATATACACATAATAAGCAAGAAAAAAAAATGATAGATACAGTGTAGAGTGTGTTTGTATATAATAATGTTGTTCTAAAAATCAGTAAATCAACGGCAAAGCTGAACACATAAGCTATTAATCCGTGAATCCGAGGGATTTGCCAAAATGTAAGATGCTGATTTCCCATTCCTCAAACAAGTCATGCTCAATTGGTTACCTAATTGAGTCGTCTGCAGAAGAACAAAAGAAAACAAGAAGAGATATGTGATTACAGACATTGAAAGGAGATTCCATCCGAGGCTGGAGAAACCGAGGAATGAAAAACAGGAGCTCAAGGGTTTTACTGTGCAAGACGCTGGTTCTCGGTTACAGCTCCATTTAGAAGTTGGAATACATGAAAGATAATGACACCATGAGCAATGTTTGTTTCCATCGACGTTGTTGAAGAGAGAGATCAATCCAGTAATGAACCTGACAAGGAAAGAAGCTTGGTTTGGTGATTTTTTTTGTCACAAAGTTCATAACTCTTTCGTGTCAATCAAAGGAGACAAGATCATCATTTACGCAATCTGTAGGCTTTTATGAGTATAGGAAAAACAAACAGACTGATTTATAGCTATTAACGTGACAGAGAAATGTAACACTTACCCGGCGACCAAGAGGAGAAGAGAGATGGTCCATAATATGCCCTGATACATCTTGAACCTGTGGGGTTTAGCTCCAGGAGCGTTTCTTTGGTTGATCCATCCGTAATGGGGACGAATTAAGAGCACAAATCCAAGAAGAAAACCCGTAGAAAACCCTCCAATATGAGCAAAGTTATCTACTCCCGGGAGCACACCAAGTCCCAAGTTCACCGCCACAATTATTACAAGAGTTATAATCGTCACAATCTAGGCAAAGCGTTGGCAGAACAACATAAATGCTAAAGTTCAAATCTTTAGATCAGAGATAGAAAACAGGTCTTGAAGGTATAGTTAGTTACCTTGTTAGAATAGATCGTCCAGTTGATAAAGATCTCAGAAAGCATTCCACCAAGTAAACCAAACACCGCACCAGATGCTCCAACGGAGATGTTTGAGCGGAGGAACAGAGCTGACAATATACTTCCTCCAAAGCCCGATATCAAATATAGCAATCCAATCCGAACTGCAAACAAAAATCAAAACAAAGGTTATATACACACACACTTCATTAAAAAAGAGTCTTCACAAAATAACAAATCGATCAAGAGAGGCGGAGAGATAGTAGGTACTTACTAAAACCAAATTCACGTTCCATACGTATACCGATGAACAAAAGAGTCAACATGTTCACCAATAAATGAACAACTCCTCCATGTAACCAGTTGCAAGAAAGTAGACGCCATCCCTCATCTCCTTTAACCACTTTTTTTACATCCAATCCACCCATTGTTTGTAACCTGTTGCAAGTAAAAGTAACCAAAAATCAATCTCAAAATCTAGACATCAGGACAATTCAAGGAAGTGGAGAGAAGAAACACACACAATCTCTTTACTCTACACCTATTATACTATTAGAATATGGGCTTCCAACTCAAAACCAATTGGCAATGAGTGGAGTGACCCATATATCTTATATACTAGTCAAGATCTCTTGTCCTTTCCAATGTGGGATAATAGTATCCCTAATATATACTACATCGTTAACCAACATTAAAACCAATCAGCTACTTGTTCCAAAACTGAAGAAATTTAGAATTTTTCCTTGAAATACTAACAAAGTTCGGATATTTGTGCTTCACTTGACTCAGTATAGATCAGACCTTTATTTGAAACAAAGTAGAAGCTTGCTTACGTGAGAGAGGAAGGACCCAAAAGAGGATTCTCTCTGGTGTTCTGAAACGAGAATCGACCCAAGAAATCAGCAAAACAATCTCCAGATTTCTTCGGACAATTGTTGACATACATGGTGATCACAAACACGACAACGTTAGCAACAACGAAACATGGAATGAGCCAAGAGAACCAACTCCGAAACTCTTTAACTCCTCTTCCTCGTTCTTCATAAGAACTTCGACTCCGATTCAATGATCGCTGTTGCCCAGATAGAGAAGACGATTCTAAATCCATTGGGTGTATGTTGTTGTTGTTGCTGCTCTCTCTCTGTCGAGTTTTTTCCCAAATCGGAGCTGTTTCTGAATCTTTCTCACCCATTGAAGCAATTAAAAATTCGAGCTTTGAACAAACTTCAAGAGATTTGAGATTGAATTTGAGCTGTGTGTAGAGAGAAATTAGGTTTCGTGTTTAGCTGTTTATGGAGGGCTTTTAATCGGTTTTTGGACTTTGGAAGCTTTTTAGAGCAAGTTCTATCTATACAACAAAAAGGAAACTTTCGTTGGAGTTTTGAGTCTGAAAACAAGGAAAAAGGAAAGAGTTATATAAGTCAACGGTCTTTACCAAATAAATATGCATCACACGGTTCCTCCTAATCCTACCAGTAAAACAATCATCCAAAAGAACAAAAAAAGAGAGTTTATGTTATTTCGTGTATGTTTCCGAATTTTCTGACGCAAAAAAAATAATATATATATATATATATATTTATATATATGTTAAAATTTCCTAATCCTACCAGTTAAAAAAACCCAGATTTATGTAAAAGAAATTCCTAATCCTACAAAAAAAACAAAAAAAGTCATGTTACTTTGTGTATGTTTGTGAGTTGCTGACCCAAAAAGAAAAAGAATATCCAGATTTATATTAAAAATAGAGAAAAATATTAATAGCAGATCAAATAGATCAAACATAAGTACTTAACAAATACGGGGGTACAAAATCATCTAATCTAATAACCTAATTTTTCATTTACTAGTTTTAACTTTGAATATTGCTTGGTTTCTTAATAGAGTTGTGTTAGGTTAAATTGAACTCGTAAAAAAGAATTCAACTTTTTCACAAATATGGAACTGCATTTGATACGTCCTATGTTGAAGGTTGGTGTTTCATTAAAAAAAATGACAAAGCAAAAATTGAACTGCATTTCATTTGAACTTTTCTTCATGAACTACTCCACACAAAATCTACATTTCTGTGAATGATAAAAAAATGTAGAACAAGCGGACCAATGTCAATTAAACGTGGTCCGAGTCAAAAAAAAAGAATAATTGTGGTGATCTATTCAATAATACTATCTCAAAAATGTTCAAAACTGTTTTTAACTAATTTATAAACAAAAATTAATAAGAAAAATAATTATAAATCTAGTGACCATAAAGATATAACTCTATATTTCTATTAAAAAAAAAGATATATATTACCCTAAATAAAAGTGGCCCTAAAAAGAAAAAAAAGAACTGAGTCATTTGCTTAATTTGCTTAATTATCATCCGAAATAGGACTGACTGATTAGTAGTTCAACGCCTCCATCAGATTTTTTATTTATTTATTGTAATTGACTCGTCTACTTCGTGTTGTATCTTTAGTACGTAACCATCGAGCTTGACGTCGACGCTTTTGGTCACCTATTCTCTCTCTATATTGTTTATGTACCTACATACCATTTGGCATTTAGAATCGGGCTTGTTTGTTAAAAAATCCCAACCTATCATTATCAATTTGATTTGAGATTAATTGTTAATTGTTTTAAAAGGCGTTTAAGTTACAACAAAGTTAAAAAATTAAAAATGATCGTTACTATCAAGTTAAGTATATATTAAATGAAATTGACGAATTTGAAGCTTTTTTATTTTATTTTTTGGTAACAAGTTGAAACTTTCTTAAGAATGATTAAGATATTTTATGGTATTTCTAAATATGCGAATTAACTATCAATGTAAAAATTATCCCTTACATAAACCTTAAGGTCCATGTACCCCAAAAAAGACTTTAGCTTACTTTCGAAACTTTAAATTGGTTGACCATTGTCGCTAACTTGGGGTCTACGTTAGCGACAAAGAGTAATTCCAAAGTTTTAATGAAAAACAAGCACCATTCAACACTAACTTCGAACATTATTCTTTGACAAAAAAAAAAAAACTTCGAACATTATTATTAATTTAATTTATTGTTCTGCAATATCTTTTCCACTCAAATTCATTAATTTTGATCCCTTATCATCAGGCTATTATACACCTTACAACACGTTCTTTAACTGATCATTGCCAGTTACATCCTAAAATGTTTTTTTTTTTTTTTTTTTTGATAATTGATAAGCATCCTAAAATGTTTCCGATTGAAACAAATATATACTCCATTTAATTTGCCACGTAATTTATCCAAAAACTCAAAAGAAATCACACAGTTTTCCTCCAGAACACAAGAAAATATTAGTGAATGAGAAGAGATTTATCCAAGAATAATGGAGAGTCGTTCACGTGTTAAAACTAGGATTGACGTTAGGAAGTAATGAGAACGAAAGAACTGGTCCAAAGTGTTCGGAGGAGGGAGGGTTTTAGGTCTAAAAGCTAAAAAAAACTGTTGGTTAGTTTTAGCCCCACAAAAAAAAAAAAAAAAACATGTCTCTTAGAGAATTAAAAATTCAGAAAACATTTTAAATTTAGTGGTAATATCAGACTATGTCAGATGTTGACAGGTGTTATTGAAATTGAGTTCAAATTTTTTTAAAACATTGGAGTTTTTTTGTAAAGAATTTTTGTGGTTTCATGGGGTTTTTGTTCAGACACAAACCCAACTTTAAAGGCGGATGCTTTACGTACGGCTCATATCGCTCTATATATTTTATTTCCCACAAACAAATTCTAACATAAATCTCACTTTTCTTTGTTGCACAAAATCAAATTAAAATCGTGTCAGAAAAACGACAGAGACAAATCATAAGGTTTGTGGATTTTTATGTGATTGGTGACCAATATTTGTTTTTCCATTTATCCTCGTCAATGTTATGTGCTCGGATCTGATTTTTGAATATGTTAAAAAGAAATTGCGCAGGCTCATCAGGCTTAACGTATCAGAATATGGACTTCCAACTCAAAACCAATTGACAATGAGTGGAATGGCCCATATCCCTTATATATTACTTAGGATCCCTTCCAACTTCCGATGTGGGAAGTTATGTCCTAATACGCCCCCTCGAGATGATGGCTCTTTGGCCATTAATCTTGGAATGTTCGGGCTTAGATCGACGGCATCAATTTTGGGCCTTGTCGATGATTGGACCATCTTTGGGTCGGATCGGGTTGGACATGTGTGGATCGGGCTCTGATACCATATCAGAATATGGGCTTCCAACTCAAAACCAATTGGCAATGAGTAGAGTGACCCATATCCCTTATATATTACTTAGGATCCCTTTCAACTTCCGATGTGGAAAGTTATGTCCTAATATAACGTACCTAAGCAATTTGCAGTTGTGTGTGTTGCAAGGAACATGGTGGACTGTGGTGTCGATGCCTACCAACTTCCTGTTGTTCCTAGGGCATGTAGATCACCCAGAGTGCGCATATACATTTGAAAATGATTTCTTTTTCCACAAGTGAATACATTTGGCTTACTCGATCGCGCCTTCTTTTTTCTCCAGGGACGCATGCAAAGACTGATGAAAAAACAAAGATCTGATTTCGAGGTTTTAGCCCAAGTGGCTGAAAAGCTCTCAGGCGAGCGCAAGCACCGAGTTGCTATCGGCTCGTTGGCCCATAAAACAAAGGAGACAAAGAACGATTTCATCTTCAATAACTTCTTGGAGACAATGGAAGTTGAGGTTAAGCCTCAACTTGGTCCGGAGAAACCTTCTCAGGTGTTATTGTCTAAGGACTGGCTAGCTCTTGGTCCTTCCGCGTCTAACTCTCCAATCTCACAAGAAGAAAAGTTTGATTCACATTCCAAGATCGGTAAGATCAAGTCATCACTCGCTAACTTTACTATAACCCTAAAGCTTTTTTACATAAAAGATTTATTTTTTTGGTTTGTGTGTTTCTTTGAATTTATGTAGATGGTAAAAGAAAGATGTGTCACTTGAAAGAGGGAGGTTCGTGTAGTAGCCAGGAATCGCAGAATATGTATCCTTTGAAAAAAAGAAAGTTGTTTTACCAAAATCATCCATCTGAATCACATGATGCTCCGTGTACCGGTATGTACATCTATTTGAGATCAAATCTATATGAACGATTGTTATTTATATATATAGCATTCTCTTGTCGTATTTTCAGTTAAGTTCGGTATCAAATCATTGCAAATCTCGGAGCTATTGGTGGACATTCCCGAATCAGCCACGGTTGGCTCACTGAAACTAGCGGTATTGGACGCAGTAACGCGGATTCTTAAGGATGGATTAAACATTGGAGTGCTTCTTCGAGGTAAAACCATCGTTGATGACTCCAAAATGCTCCTTCAGATTGGGATCCCACACGATGATGACGATGACCAGAACCTCAGTTCATTGGGATTCATGCTAGAACCACAGAAATCAGAAACAACGACAATAACAACGTTAAACAATGTTTACCCGAGAACACGACTTAGGTACACAATCAAAACCATTATTTTTTTTTATTTTTTTTTACTCATTTCTAAAATTTATGTTATTAGTAATTTCCAATTCTTATAAAATTGCGGTCATATATAAATAGACAAAATAGGGTTCTAGGGTCCGTGGATAGCACTGAGGTGATGGCAGCTAAATCCGTGGTTCCGGTGCGCATGAAACCGGCCTCGCAGCCAGAGATAGTTCAACGGAGAATCAGACGTCCATTCACTGTCTCAGAAGTAGAAGCTTTAGTTCAGGCCGTAGAGAGGCTCGGCACCGGAAGGTAATTAATTTTCAACCTCTAATTAATTTCCTTTTAATGTACAAATTTAAGTTATTAAACTTGTCTTCTATATACGTATATTGATTATTTTCAGGTGGCGCGACGTTAAGTGTCATGCATTTGACCATGCTAAACATCGAACTTACGTTGACCTCAAGGTACTTTTTAGAGATAACTAAGCTACATATACGTACAATCAGATATTTATTGATTATAAAAAACTAGAATCATTAATATGATATGTAATAACCAAAAACAGGATAAATGGAAAACGTTGGTTCACACGGCAAAGATATCAGCAAGACAAAGGAGAGGCGAACCTGTGCCTCAAGACCTTCTTGATAGGGTTTTAGCTGCTCATGCTTTCTGGTCTGACCGGACCAGATGAATACAAAGTCATAGTTTTGATATACGATCCGGTTCTAGGTTCAGTTTAGAATTTATTAAGTTTAGGATTTTGATTTTTAAGTTTTCCCTTTGCCATAGTTTAATATTCCTATATAATGATAGATAATCTCTAGGATATATAAAAAGTGATTAGGGAACATTTTAACCCGGAAAGGTGTAGTTGTTATTGATTATTGAGATGGTGTAGGTTCTAAGTTACAGTAGATAATTAAACGCATGTAAGCTTAAGATTCAACTCCCGTAACATATGAGTATATATTTATATTGAATTTTTTTTAGTTTTCTGTCTCTATATTGGAACTTATATGTTGATAATATAAATAGATTTGACTTAACAAAAATAAGAAAATAAATGGAAAGAGACAATATATTATCACTCTTTCTAATTTAAGCGGACACGATGTATACGACGTAAGAAGAACAATAGGTACCGGTAGGTCTTCAGAATTGTCTACTCGAGTCAAATTTGGAACCGGTGAATTCAACAATAGGTACCGGTTCCCGTAATTTACTATTTGTACATAACTGCTAACAAAACCATAAAATTAATTCCTCTAATCAATCTCTAGTTACCCTGTTAGACGTTAGACTTTTACCAAAAACTTAGAAAATTGGTTGTATTCTAATCAAATTTGGGTATAAAATATAAGAAAGGACACATGAGCCTCCGTATTTGGGCCAAACTTGATTAGATGGGTCCGATAAAGCAGACGTCGTCGATCCCCCACATGCCATATATGGTCCCTCTCACTTATTCGCAACTTGGCCACGTGTTTTGTCTATCCATACTTTATAGGCACATAAAATATCTCCTCTGTTCTTGTAATAAACTAACATTTTCTTGCCCTCTTGATCATCCATAGTTTTGTGTTTCTTGTTTGAAGAAGCGTAAATGGCGAACAATGGACCTAACTGGGACGGATTGCTCAAATGGAGCCTCTCCCATTCCGATGGATCTTCTTCTTCTAGCCGTTTGAGGTCTCTGAGCGTTTCTCAACATTATAACTTAGTTTTGTGTCAAGATTGTTATCTTTGATCAATCTTTCGTTTCTTTGCTAATTGTTTTGGTTCTTATTTTATTAAAATTCTCTTTTTATATTCTGAGAAAAGAAAGCATTTGGATGATTAATCTTGAAGTGATTTCTCGGCTAACTTGTTTGTTGAATTTCGATTTTGATTTGTTTTCTCTGGTTAGTGAGGAAGATCGACAATGGTTTATGGAAGCTATGCAAGCACATACGATCGATTCAATTTCCCGTATGAAAGTGATATCTCAAATCATGAAGATGCCTGAACAAGTCTTGGAGGCTCAAGGAATTACACCTGATGATCTTGAAGGTTCTTTACTTGGTTCCAATGGCGATTATTCAGTTATTCAAAAGAACGGCCCTAATCGATTTTTAAGAACTGATACTTTTATCTGGACAGGAATGTTGGATGAGCTGCAGGAACACGTTGAGTCGATCGATTTGGCCAATGGTTTGATCTTAAATAACTAGTTTTTGGATTTTGTTATATTTTGTGAAGGTTTATTTTTTACCATGTTTTGATCATTAATGTTTCAGATCTACACTCCATTGGAGGTTTGGTTCCTCTCCTTAGCTATCTCATGAACTCGAATGCAAAGATTCGAGCAAAGTCTGCCGATGTTTTGACCACGGTTGTCCAAAACAATCCAAGAAGCCAGCAACTTGTTATGGAAGCAAATGGGTTCGAACCATTATTTACCAACTTTATTGCTGATCCCGACATTAGAGTCCGGACCAAGGCACTCGGTGCTATATCTTGTAAGAGTTACTATTTCTGGCAAAGTTTGCTTTGAGAACCCAAAAGTTTGACAGTGTTTTCTTGCTTTCGACATTGCAGCTCTTATCCGTAACAACCAACCCGGGATTACAGCATTCCGTCTGGCAAATGGTTACGCTGGCTTGCGAGACGCTTTGGTCTCTGACACCGTTAGATTCCAACGGTAAAAAAATGTCTCAAGCATATGCATTAGAAAGATGAATGTTTTGTTTTGGTTCTGTTTGGGTTCAGGTTTAGTTACCAATATGTTCTTTCTGTTTCAGAAAAGCCTTGAACTTGATTCACTATCTTCTCCAAGAAAGCAACTCAGACTGTAAAATCGTTAGAGATCTTGGATTCCCTCGCATAATGATCTACCTAGCATCCAACCAAGATTTTGAAGTCCGGGAATTCGCCCTTCGTGGTCTCCTAGAGCTCGCCCATGAAGAATCTGATAGAAACCTTGACAGAGCGGATGTGAATCTAAGACAACTTCTTGAGGAGAGAACAAGAAGTATAATTGTGATGTCGGACGAAGATCTTTGTGCAGCTAGAGAAGAAAGACAGCTAGTGGATAGTCTTTGGACCGTGTGCTATGATGAACCGTCCCATCTAAGAGAAAGAGGCCTGGTTTACCTCCCTTCTGATGACGAGCTGGCTCCTGATGTGGTTAGGGACCGCTTTGAACCTCCTCTAAGGGCTTGGGCTGCAAGAAGACATGATGAAACGAGTGAACCACCAGTTCCACTTCTTCTTGGTCCTGCACCGTAATCTCGTTGATACGTGTTTAGGAAGAACCAGTCTATTGGATTTTGCATCTATCAACGAAACAGCATTGGTTTAGAATTTGAAATTCCTATAGCTCTTGTTTCTGTGTATCTGAGCAACAATAAGTCTCTTTTAAAGTGATCATCAGTGTTCTGTTCTAAAATACAATTCGACACACATACACAAAAAGGTTCTACAACTTCTCCGTTTTTTGCCAATAATGTTCCGTTATTGTGTTAAGTCGTGAATCTACCTGTGAGACTCTTCTTAATAGTGAATCAACTATCGCAATCATAATCTTCATATTTTATAAGTTCTTATAACAAAAACTCAATTATATATTCCATACAAAGGCAAAAATGTATGTACATGATCCGCATTAGTAAACCTTTAAAAAGCTATAAACATAAACCGTTGCTAGAGTTGGAACATCAAACATCACCTCCCACCGGAGAGTAGAGACTCAGCGATGGAAGATCCGCCGGTAAACCCTTTAAACACGGAGGACAAATCAGACATTGCAATACCGCTAAAACCGTCCCGGCCTCCCAAATTCATCACACTCCCTGCTGACAAATCCAAGGGCGTTAATTCAGGCAGTGCCATGTCTCCTCTAAGATATTGTAACACCTGCCTCATACTTGGTCTAGCCCGCGGATCTGAATGTGAACACAACAGGCCGAGTTTCAAAACCATTTCAACCTCTTCAAGATCATAACCTGAAGACCCGAGATTGGGATCTTTCGCTGCCATTATGTTACCTCTGAGCCACAAACTGAAAACCCATTCCACAAGCAAGAACGTATCATCGCTTGCGCTATGGATCTCAATGGGTCGTCTACCGGAAACAACTTCTAGAAGAAAGGCACCAAAGGCATAGACGTCAGTCGCAGTAGTGGCCCGCCCAGTCCGGGAATGTTCAGGTGCTAGGTAACCCAATGTTCCAACTACGTGAGTGGTCTGAGGATCCGACCCGTGATCATACAACCGAGCCAACCCGAAATCTCCGAGTCTACCATTGAAATCAGCGTCTAACAAAACATTGCTAGCTTTCACGTCACGGTGAATCACAACTTGTTCCCATTCCTCATGGAGATAGAACAATCCTGAAGCAACTCCTTTGATAATCTTAGATCTTTGTTTCCAATCTAAGGTTGTCTCTGGATTGTTGTAAAGATACTTGTCTAAGCTCCCATTAGGCATGTAATCGTAAACCAAAAGAAGCTCTCCTCTCCGGCGACAATAACCCAACAGAGGAACTAAATTCCGGTGACTCATCCGACCAATACTCACAATCTCCGCCACAAACTCTTTCATACCTTGTTTTGAATCATGTGAGACTCTCTTCACAGCGACTTCAAGCTTCGTCGACGGTAAAATCCCTCTGTAAACTCTCCCAAATCCACCAGATCCGAGAAGATCCTTCTCCTTAAAACCTTTGGTCGCATGATAAAGCTCCTTGAATCTAAATCGATTCTTCCCAAACTCTGTTTCCCAATCATCAAGCTCTTCCTCGTACTTCTTCTTCCTCCTCACGATATAGAAAGCGAGGAAGATAATAGAGAAGATCAGAGATAGTGAAATCAAAGGCATACCGATTTTGTAGAATTCAGAGATTCGTCTCGGCTCGAATCGAGGAAGCTTCGGGAGTTTCGATAACAAAAGCATCGGAGCTTCTCCGTTTAACCGGAAACTCCATCCGACTACGAAATGCTCCGAGAGAACTGAACCAGTAGCAGATGAGAAACCTACATACATATCTTCCAGAAGAATCGAAGAAAGATCTCTCACATACGAAACTAGAGGTTTTCTAGGTTTATCGGAATCAAACGGAGCCATGGTGACATCGATTCGATGACTCCGATTATCGTAATCGATCCAAACCTGAATCCGTTTGCGACTAATCAAGCTCAGATTCCGAAACTCGTCGTGATTATCCCAATATCCCGCCGTCGAGTAATTCGCCGATCGTAAACCATTGATATCGATTCCGACGTGATTATCGTTTGGATCTCCGAACTCGCTGCTCTGGATAGTATCGAATTCGACGGCGAAGATGTGATTCGTGTCGTTACCATTGTTGGAGATGTTGAAGAGACCGATGTATTGACTAGGAAGTGCAAAAGGAAGACCTAGCGTTGGAGCTACAACGAAGGCGATTCCATGGCCGCTTAGTGTTGGGATCTGAGAGTGTATCGCGAAGACGAAGGTTGTGGAGAAAGACGAAACGTAGCCGTTTGGAGAATCTTTGAACCGGATCTTCTCGGAATAGAAGGCGTGACCGGTTTTTTGTACCGATGTGTTGGTTAGCTTCAAGAGACCATTGGGTGTGACTGTTGCGAGACCTTGGAGTGAGATGTCTGTTAATGGAGGATGGAAACCATTGTAGGTGAAGTTGAGATTTTGAGAAGAAGATCTCAGAATTTGACAGAGAAGGAAGATGAAGAAGAAGACGAGCTTGAGCTTGATGAACATGGCTGCTTCCGGTTATTTCCGGTTTAGGTTTGCTCTGTTTTGTCAAACGAAAGAAGAAAGATTGAAGAGAGAAATTGAAGTTATTTATTTAAAGATGTGAAGAGGAAGGATAAGAAAAGTCGTGGTAATGTTTCTTTGAGGCCACGCTTGTGATAATTTGAATATCATGGTAGTGGTTGGTGAAGTATTGATCAAGATTATAAGCTTGAATTAAATAGAAGTTAATTTCATTCTTTGGTATTTTAATAGTTCGTTTTCGTGAGGAGTATCTATTAAAAAACCCCACACTTGATATTGACTGATGCATTAATCCAGTTTGTCTGCATGTGACTTCTAGTGGTCAAAGGTCAATGAGTGAGATGTTGTTGATTACTTTTGTTTAGTTAAATTAAATGAAGTGAATTCAATCTTTGGGTCATATGGTTAAGACCACAAATTAGAGTTTGTGGTTTTTTTTGAGCCTTTTTTTAAGGATTTTTTTGGTTAGTTGGTGAGACTGTTAAGTGGTTTTATAATATACAGTTTTGTAGGAAAACAATTATAATATTTAACAAAAATCCAATTTACCAATGAAGTTTTTATTTTTATTTTTATAAGTAATCATTTTGTTAAAAAAACACAAATTTAAAAAAAAAAAAAATAGGAAAGTGGTAAATATATAAGATACTGAGG